GGGACTTGACTCCACTCCATCCCTGCTTAAATGTCCCCGTCCCCCCTGCAAACCCTCACAGGGCTGTTTAAACTGGCGGTGGTTTGGGAGAACAAAGACGCCACGTCTGCTTCTCTTAAAACATAAAACTATTTTTTTTCCTGATTTTTTTTTTTTTCCGGGGGTGGGTGGGGTGTTGGCTTTTAACTCTTCCCGAGCCGCTCGTGGAAAGCAGGCGGCGGAGGAGGAGACCGCTCCGGCTTCATTCGCGAGCGGCTTGCCGGACGAGAAGGACGGGGCGGGCAGGGGAGGCAGAAGTTGAACCCGAAGTCGGAGATGGATTTAAATGGCGTTGACTCTGCTCGGGCAGCTTTTTTCCAAACGGCTTCGGCGGTGCCAAGCCTGCAGTGGAAAGTTGGGGGGTGGAGGGGGGGGAAATGCCGCCGTTTGGATATGAGCTAGGGAAACGGGGTGACAGCGCTGCCGTTTCGGGGGAAGCAGGGTGACCAGAGAGGATGCGTCGAGCGGACGGATAGATTTATACGCTGTGCAGTGAGTAGCTTTAAAACAAACCAGAATGAAGTATTGAGGGTTTTTTTTGTCTTTTAGGTTTTTACGCGTGTCGCAGGTAGCCAGGTTGCAGCCCTCTGTATTAGCGTGTTTTTGTTGCCGTTTAAAAAAGACTTGTTTAATAATTCAGCCTCCGTGTAACAATAACTGTGCAACTTTTAAAAAGAAAAGTTTTAAACGGAGCATTTAATGTTTGCTTGACGTTGGCTCGAGTCCAGTGACGATCCCCCAGGTTTTGGAAAATGTTCACATTCCTGGTTTGTAAAAGTTGCTGTAAGATATGGGAAGGTAAATGTTCAGCAGCTGTACTCTTACATTAAATGGAGATGATGTGTAGCCATGTTGGTTGCATTTTTATTTGGTGTTGAGTCATACGGGATTATTAAAATCTTTATATTCTTTTTCGACTGCGATTGAAAGGTAAATCTAAGGTTTCGTGACAGCTTTTATAAATATTAATTGGGGCATTAAGACGAAAATAGGCTTTTAATTTTAAAAAGAAATTTGATGGATCGTAATAATTGTTATTCTTCCATGGAAAGTGTTTATGTCCTTATTTTAGATTTGGATTATGATGATTTTATGATTACAGAAACACTCCTGCAGTGTTGGGCAGGCTGTGACATGCATAGTTTGGTGAAAGAAAGTTCTAGCTTTAGGTGGGTGTCTGCTATTTTTTAGTATGTTAATGTAAACATATACATAAATAAATTGTGGTTTTCTTCAACTGTTGTTTCAGCTTCAGTAGTTAATTTGGTTTAGAAAACAAACAAGTTGATCTAATTTCTTAACAGGTTTTTCTTTTCTTTTTTTAAATGGTTGAAAGATCCTTACCCTTTGTACTTTAAGAGATACGAGGAATTGAATTTACATATAGGTGTTTTTAGTTGTTGATGTTGCAAATGAGTTTAAAATAATATTTTTGTAGAATAATCTTTCAAACTTTTTCTAGGTATGGAGCACTAGGGATGGATGTAACTGCTGCAGCAGCGTTATGTTAAGGCTTTTGACAAAAGATGACAAAAGTTGGCTAGTGCTAATGCAGATGTGCTTTTAGTGTGAAAGAGCGTAGTCTGGGCGCTGATTAAAGGTCAAAGATGCTGCAAGTTTTAAAACTACTCTAAAGGGCAAAGCTGATATCTTACTTGGTGAGATCAAGTAACTTGTGGCTTAAAATTCAGAGAAGCTGATGACAGAAGCCATTTTAACAACACTGGTTGCTGTTAGTGGGGGTGGGTTTATTTTAATTTTGCATTGCTTGCTTTTAAGGGCTTTGTTGGAGGGAAGGATTTGAGGGACGTTCTGGGTTAAATTGGAAAAGTCACGCTTTGGAAAAATAACTTCGGTTCTGCTTTCTAAAATGCACAGAACTCGCTGCAGTTTATTTTTACTCTTATTAATATGGTAGTAGTAAAAATTAAGAAAAGTCAAATTTACCTCTTTTCATGCAGTAAAGCTTTGTGCATGTGATGTCGAAAATATACCTCATTCCAGTGTCTATCTTAAACCAAGTATGTAGAAAGACCAACATTCTGGGATTTTTTTCAGATTTTTGTTGCAGATGTACTTCTGACTTCATCTTAACACTAAATTTCTGAAATATGCTTATATTAGCTTTACAAGTAATTATTGCAACAAACTTATATAAAGAGGGGGAAAAAACCCTAAAACTTATTTTTTTTTCTCTCTTAAAGGTAGAATTCGGCAAATATGTACCTTGATTCCTGACTGTCTTCCAGAAGAATTGTATAAAGGTAATTGTTAGGTAAGAGTGGTTTATTCTTTCTTTTCATAGTTTGCGTTCATTTCTACTTTAAGATTTTTTTCAGTTCTAAAGGTTTGTCTAACTGTAATCTTCTGCTATGCAAAGAAAAATTAAAATAGACATTCTTGAAAACGCCATTCTTAAATGAAAATTGGGTAAATTAAAATAATTTGGATTCTACAGCGTATTTTGTTTAGGTAGTTAGGAGCCTCATCATGAAAATTATCAAGTTTAACAGTCCTGCTGTATAAAATCCTGAGTTGGTGAAAACACTTTAAAAAGTGAATAGATTATACGTATTAGTGAGTGCATTTTGGGAGAGGAAAATTGTCATCTTTAATCAGAATATTACTTTTTTATTTTTCCTTTCTTCCAAATGAAAAATATGTATCGAATTTTGTAAAGATTTGAATGGTCTATTTTGATGTTCAGTAAAAAAAACTAGTTCATTTAAGCATACCATGAATTTTAAATGTGGCAATATAAAATATTGGGTATTTATATATTAAAAAATGCTTCTTAGAGCAGCATCTTTTTTTTTTTTTTTCCTTGGGTTGAGCTTGAACACGTAAAACAACGTTTTTGTTGTTATTCCATATACTTTGGACAGGGTTTAAAACACTCATCCCAAATATGTTATTTTAGGTACAATTTTAGATATTCCAGGTGCTGAGGTGTTGGAATGTAGATAAGTTACTCTTTGAAACAAATCTGTTTATTTTTCTCCCTCTCTTTTCTTTTTCTTTAAAGGAAGCACTGGGTATTGTTTCGTGTTCCTTTCTGAAGATTTGGTTGGGTCATCTATTAAGCATTGATGGAAAGATGCATTCAAAATTCTGTATGGTACGTATCAGGTATGCTGTAGTGACTGTTAACCCCCTAAAGTCACTTTTTGAGCAAAATAAACAATAAAAATTTAAATGGTAGCTTTTGTTTAAAGCACGAACATCACAAAATACTGTATTTTGACCAAGCTTTGTTTTTCTTTTTTTCCCCAGTATTTAAAGACTATATACTAAACACCATTTATAATGTTGTTGTGCCTTTAAATGCATCTTTTCTTAGGGTTATGCAAAAAGCGTATATGTTTATAACATCTGAAATAATTTTATGTTAAATGTTTAAAAAATGAAGGATTAAGAAACTGGTTTGCACCAAAAAGGTGGAACTTCCTATCCTTCTGTATATACACTTGCGCATGTACAGTCTCATTGGGCATATATAACCAAATTGAACCAATACATTTTCCCTTATTTTATTGCTTTGAGGTCACCTGAATCTGATTCTTGTTCGGGTTTTTGTGCACTTAAAAAAAAACCAAACAAAAAACCTGTAATGTTTATATACTAAAATCTTATCTTTTTTTTTTTTTTTTTTTTTTTTAAGAATAACTTGGAACACTAGCCGTATCAAATATCATATTGTCCTGTCTGCAGCATACAGAGAGTAGTTTTCAATTATGTTTGAATTTGAGACATCACCTAAGATAGAGTTTTGGACTGATGAACTGTAACGTGATGCCAGGTAGAAATGTGATTCTAATGTAATTCAAAGTTGCCAGTCTCTGTTTAGATTAACAGGTTCAGTCTCACAGGTTGCCATACCCTGTGGTATTTAACACCAAATTCAGATCTTAAACTTTTAAGGTCATCTTGATGAGGAGACTGAGAATCCTGACATGCAACTCTTAACTTTGCCTGTTAGTGCTGAAGAAGAGCAACTGTTTGATACCATGACAAAGCAGCACGGTTCTTTTAAATGTCTTCCAGCTGAGAATGCATTTGGCTTCAGTGTGAACTTCGACATATTCCAGCTAATTGCTTTAGTTATTAAAATGTGTGACTTCTATGAGCACGTTTTCAGAACACCTCTGCTTCATGCAATTGGAGGTTCGCGTTAGTCCCAGTATTACTTGAATGTGGACTTCTTGCCCATATTTGACTTGCTGATCGTTTGCATAATATATGTGGATAACAGACAGTATAGGTAAACTGCTGGAAAACGTATTAAATGTTGACTGCATACATTGTGTAAAAATCCAGCAGAAATCAGTCGTTTAAACGCTTAGTGTGAAACTTGTGAATTAGGAATCATCAGAAATCATCTTTGTGAAGAGCAGAACATGATATGTGGTGTGAATCTGAAGCGCCGTGGAACAGAACGGTACCAAGCACAGACTTTTTTAATAACTTAGTAATGATAAAGCTAAGAGAAGCTTGTAACTTTCATTGAAGTACTAGAAGTAATTCTCAACTAGGGTTTCATGACGCCCTGGGGTGGCTCGAGATCCTTTCAGGGGTGCCGCAGGATGCCATACAATGCTCACATTGTTAGATGTGCAAACAAAAGTCACAAGATAAGCCTAACATTTTCAAATAAGAATCCACAGTATTTATTTATTTATTTTAAAGTCGGATCTATTGTGGTGTTTTGGAGTTCTTTGCAACAGAAAATGCTTCATTTTTCCTACTAAAAAAATAAGTTAAAACTAAGAGTGGGCATTTTCTGAGGAGTGCATTGAGCCTAACGTGGGGTGCCTTGAGTCTAAAAAGTTTGAGAACCACTGATTTGTAGTAATACTTCCACTTAATTTGAGAGATTCGAGGTTTGTACTCCTTTATCAAGCCTTTCATGATCCAAAATTCAATATTGATTGATCTACCCATAATTAAAGATACATATTTATGATGGGCTGGCTCACCTTGACTGATTTAGAAGCTTATAAGGCATTTGAAAAAAGAATACCTTGGCCTTAATGGCTCTGCATTTTTCTAATATCAACATCATATTCTGTGTAGTAAATATCCTGTAATGTAAAACTATATTTTTTTAACTTCTGAATTCTTTTGCCTACTCTTTGGAGCTTCACTTCCATTTTTCTCCCTTATTTTAATTCAGGATGGTACATCCTGATGTATATGGCAGTAATTCTTTGTTGCAGATCTTAGTAGATTTGATACATCTCACTAGGGAATCAAGGAAAGGTGTGTTCCAGGCACTCTGCAGCATATTAACATGGCAACCTAAAAATGGCATTTTATGTGCAGGCCTGTTGGTGTCACTGCTGTTTCAAACTAATTGCCCCCCATACAGCCATGGTTAGTACAACATCACACCAAAGGGGCTGCTGCTGTCTTCTCACTTAGGACTCCCTTAGAACTAGTAATGCCAGCCCTTTGGTTGAAGAGCCACTGTCAAGTGGCACAACATGAGACACCCCCACCCTTCTGTGAAGCAGAGCATAATATTTCCGAGCTTCTAACTCATGGAAATACTTGTACAAATCCCTGAGGTGAGCTGCAAATTTCAAATGATTGCTTATTTTCCTGTTTTGGGGTGATACAAGTTTTTTACTATGAGTTCTACAAAGGTTACAACAGCTAGTCAGACTAATATCCTATTTTTACAGTTGATAAAATAAATTTAGCAGTAAGTGGGAAATTTACATGTACTAGCTAAAAGTGCTACTATTCAGCTAAAATTATGTTTTACTTATGACCACTATCCTAATTTGTGGATCTTATGCCTTTGTGAACACTTTTTGTTCTTAACTGATATAAGATAAAGTTATAAGTAAGTTAGTACTGTACTGGCAAATCAGTGTGATTAGATTTGAAGTTGTACAAAGGTATTTCAGTAAGTAACTTCAGTTTTGAAATAAAATAATTTTGTGTGCGGTGATCATTTACTGGACCACATCTCTTCTCTGCATAGTCATAAACGACGAACATGTTCAAAAATACCACCATCAGTGTTCCCTGCTGCCATGTAGTTTCCCATACATTTCACGCAATATGGCATTATTTTTAAATTGCCATTACTTTCTGAAACACCCTTGTAAATTGCAAGTGTAGTGTGCATGACTGGAAATTACAGAAACTGTACACTAGTTATTAGCAGGCAAGAAATGCAATTGATTACTATCATTTCACTACTTGCTTGCGGTAAACCTTTCTTAGTTCGTCAAGTCACTTAGGGGTAGACAGTGCTACTTGTTGTTTTTTTACCAAAATTGTACTGATTTGTAAAGAACCCTTAATTCAGTATATTCAATCCTGCTTCTTTTATCATTGTAACTGTTCTGTTGCCTTTCATGAGTTTAGGGTCTCTGGATTTCTTTGGGTGTTTCTTTTGTTGCGATATCCATATCTCCTTTTGTCCATAACGTGCAAATCTACTCTGTGATCTTTAATTGGATCAACTGTATGATTGTGATAACATTAGATACGTTTTTGAATGCAAAGCATTCTTGGTCAGATCTGTAACTTGAGTAAGGCAGAATGACTTAACTGCTAGTAAGGTTGTTATGAAATTGGTTTAAGAAGATATTAAATGCACAGTGAAAAAGATTGCTAAATGTGTAATTCATGCCAAGAAATTATGAAATGCCATTAGACGTGCCTAGATGGGCTTTGAATTTCTCCATAGGTTTTATATAGTTACTTTAAAGTTGTTTGTGTTGCATTGTGTTCACTTAAATAGTGAAGTGATAGTCTTCTGTACATTTTTTTTTTTTAATTGGACAAATGAGCATATTGTTTCTGTTTCCTCTCAAATTTGGCCATCTTTGCTTGGAACATAAGACTGGAAGGAACCATTGGGTCTTCAAGTCCAGTCCCTTGCTATTTCAGGCAACCATATCATACAGTGTCTTTCATAAGCTAACCATACTCATCCTAACAGTCGGTGGTTGTTGCCTCAGTACTACTGGAATGTTGTTTTAGAGTTTCATAGCCTGATAGTTAATAAGTTCCAGCCTAAATGTCTTTGAAAAATAACCTCCTTTAGCTGACTGAATGAAAATGGAAGTATGCTGAAAAAACAGGCTGTTGTATTCCATATCCTACTGGATCAAATAGGATCTGTTGAATCACATTTAAATGCGTAGTTTAAACCTATAAGCTCCACATCAGTGGTATCTGCATAAATTGGCTGGCATATACTGGTTATCATTTTAAGTTTGTTGGATATCCAGATGTGAAAAGTAACCATATTTCAATGACCATATTTCAAAACTTATTGAAATAACTTCAATAAGTTTTTGTTGAAGCTAGTTTACTTGAAATGATAATTAAAATGGAAAGATCTGATGTTGAATGGTAAGTATTAAGTGAAGAGAGTAACTTGTAAGGAAGAGAGCTGAAGTAAAGGATTGGAATTTATAAAACTGCATCAGAATTTCCCAAATCATTGGATGTATTCATATATTACGACATATTGGAGATTACACTTTTCAAGAGGAATGTGTTACCTGAAGCATAAGGGAATAATTTATTCTGACTCTTCTTTTTGTAGGATAATTTGTATAGTTTATTGCTTTAGACCATTTGATTCAGATGAAGGTTTTCAAGTGCAAAAAAGAGCTTTTGGTATCTTGCTCTCCATGTTGTAATTACATATTTACCTACTTACCTATTGGAGATGGACCAATATACTAATACTGATATGGGCTACGAGTAGATGTTTATAAAGATAGGCCTTCAGTTCATTCTAGCTGACCACGTGGAAAAATGTGTTGGGTATAGAATTTTGCTGTATTCTTACAGCTGCGTTATAAGAAACATTAGTTGCATGGCAAAATGTGTTGAATACCTGTACTTTATTTAACTTTATTATTACCTGAGTGATACTGAGGATCACCCGAGGATCCTTTTTTAACTGCAGTATCACCTGGAACTTTGAGAGTTCCAGTTATTGCTGTCAGAGTAGATGAGTTGGAAGTAGACTGGACGTATCAGGGTATTTTACATGGGTGCCTTAGTCTCCTCCATCTGCTTGGTTTTCAGATGGCTAGTTTCAGCTTCCTTTTTCAGCTGCATCTTTGTGTCTATGGGCTTTAATGTAGCTGGGTGCAGAGGGTGGTTGTAAACTAGTTGTGATTTTAACGGGATCTAAAACCACAGTCTGTAGAGCTACAATTTTTGGCCCAAGTGCCTTCTCCCTTCCAAATGCTTCAACCTTTTCTGCACTGTTCTCTCTTGCTGAGTATTTATTTCAACTACACAGAATGGGGGCTTTGGGGTAGGCTGTTTTTAAATCTCCAGTTGACTGAATTTGGGTGTTTTAATTTTCCCCTGCAGGTATGTTGAAGGGGATTGATCTACTCAATATATACAAAGTAGCTGATGTTGACTGAAGCACTGGTAAGCTGTTCTTGCTAATACAATTACATATGATTTAAAATATATTCTCTGTGGATGTAGTGTTTTAACTTAATAAAGGATTTTTATTTAATTTTTTTTAAATGACTTTAAGTATATTTAAAAAAAAATGATTTTTGAAAGGACCAGAGTAGCAAACTCTTAATTTGGGGATTTTACACAAAAGAATGCAATTTTTACATGGCATCTTACATAGCTCAGTTGCTTATTTAAAAGTCTCTTCCATGTATTGTAGGATTTACAGTAATCCTTTTTTTTTAATTTAGTCCTTTAATGCATTAAATATATTACTTGCTAAAAGTACTGCTGTGTTTCGTCAATGCTGTATTACACATTTGTAGTACAGAGTAGCAAACGACATAGCCGAATGAACAGTGTTATAAGCATCCTGTTAGGGGCTGTCCTTGCGTTCTCCAGTTAACATCAACAAAGGTTCTTCATCTTCAGCAGACTGGTTAGTAACCATCTCAAAGGAATTTTCTTTTCTGAGATTGTTCTCATGTCTTTACTTAATTGGGATCAGAGGCCCTTAGCTTCACAAAGGACAATACATGATTTTGGCTGTATGAACTACCGTTTTAAAGAGGTAGTTTATAGGATCTCGTTTAGGAGTACTTATCTGTGCAATCAACAGGCAAGGTTGCCAGGTCTGAATAGGAGAATAGGGTTGATGTTACTTCATAGGTATTATTATTGGATGAAAATGGCAGTGGCATTTCATGGGGAATCACATTTTGTTTTCAGTTTCTGGTTATCAGAAGAACCATACTCTGGGGCAAGATTTTGCTGCCTTTAGTACATAATTTTCTTGGGGTTCTTTCATCTGCCAAGATACCAGGCTTCTTTGTGACTCTGTCTCTGTAAAAACTTCAGGCACCTTGGTCCTTGCTTTAATCAGGGTGTTTAGTGCATTTTAAGGTCCTGCAATGACAGAATTTACTATTAAATTCAAATTTTGCTACAGAACTGGCTCAGATTATAATGTCTTCATCTTTCTTACTTTTGAAGATAATCTTCCAAATGTGAAATATTAACTGATTCAGTAGTGCCTGAGACTGCAGGCAGTACTTCCAAGATGTGAGGACAGTCCAGCATCTGTTAACTTTGAAACAAGCAGGTGACATTCAGTCATCTTAATAGTTTCACTACTACTTGTATTACCACATTATCTGGGTGTTTCTGCTTACCTTGCAATGCATGTTGCCTTCTGTGCCTCCCCAGGTGCCAAATACCCCATTGCTCCGCATGTGGCTGCCAAAGCTGCTCACTCTTCCTGATAACTTCCAAATTAGTCATTCTTGTCAAGACAAGATAAAGCTAGAGCATATTGTAAACTCAGAGTGAGTGGGTGCAGGTGTAGCACAGACCATATTTTAACTCTGAAAATAAATATGCTAGGGGCTATAGTATTTTATTCCTTTTAATTAATTAAAAATCTTCATTTTGAATAAAACTTCCAATGTCTTCAGGCCATTAAGCGGCGTTCGCAAGCCTAGCTGTACAATCTAGAATTTGCTAGATTGTTGCACTAGGGCTTGTGGGGTCTTGCGCTTGGTGACTTAATTTTTGAAGATTACATGTGCTTTTTTTTTTTTTTCAACTTTTTCCTGTTTGTACTGTTAGCTTTCTTGTTTCTTCAGTTTTATTCTGTGCTGTTTTCCACAGTGCTACCTACATTTGGATCAAAATATGCTTTGCTGTGTTTTAAACAATGTTTGCAACTTGAAATTCCTTCTTGGAGCTCGCTTTTGCCATGTTATCCAGTAGAGACCATTGTGCTGTGTTCATCACCTTCCTTCTTGCCATGCTAAAGTCTCTGTTTAAAAGTATAAATATTTCTATGATTTCTTGGCATGCCTCATACCTTTTGTGGTAACTTTTGCTTTCTTGTTTCTTATGCTTTATTATTCCTCTAATTTGGATTTTAAAACTCATGTAATCAGGGTTCTTGTTTCTCAAGCAGTAATTTAGTGGCATCTCAGGCATACATTGCAGAGGTCTACCTTTCTTTTATATAATTTTTAGAGTAGGCTATATCTCAATTTGGAACCCTGAACCGATCTTAAGGAAGAGCTATTTTAACATGTATTTGCAAATTAAATGAGCACAACTTAATTTATTGTTCTTTGAAGACCTTGGTGTCATTTTTCGTCAAATTCAAAGGTAGATTAAGTTCACATTTTTTAATCCCAAACCATTACCTCACTGAAGTTGTTTTTGAATGAGAAAAATGTGTGTGCTCACAAATAAACATTTGTATTTGGCATTGGGCTTCTCACTGCCATCTAGAATGCTTGGTTTCAGAGGTACTCCCCAGACATTACAGTTAATTTCAAAACATGAGATGTCAGCAAAAACTCTTGGATCCAACTTCAGGTAAAATAGAATCCAAGGAATCTGGGGGATAGTTTTTCTGAGCCAAAAATGTATATAGCTGTTTGTATGAAGTTGTCATGCTCATTGCTGTGCTTATATGAGCACCTATAGTTAAAATCAGCATTGTCTCAGTGGGAAAGGAGAGAAACTGGACAGTCTTACAAAACCTTACCCTTAGCTAGGCAAGAGGTATGTTAATATCAGTGGGAATTAACTCCTCTCCTCCCCCCCCCCCCCCCTCCCCGGACTTCTTGCAAGTGGTCCAGAACCACATTGAGGCTTTCTGAGACTGTAAAAGGCAGTCTTACATTTTTCTTTTCCTTGAAGGTCTCATCAAGTATTGTTGAACAGAGAATTTCATCCATTTCGTTATCCTTCAGTGAAGATGAGGTGACATCTTTGTACTAGTGTAAAAGTTTATCACACCTCTGTCCATGAAGAGAGAGCCTACTTCTGTAAATTTTGGCAAAAGTGAAGTCTTCTGACTGTTTGCTCTGTACTTGTGGTAGTGTAGTGAAACAAGGATTTTTGACAGCTAAGGGAACACACTAAGAACACTTGGGGCTATAACAGATTTCTTTTTTGTTTGTTTCTGTGGGCTCTTGTCCATCTTTCAACATGGGGGCAAAAAGTTGGTTTGTGATGTAAGAATATGATAAGATGAACTTAAAAATATCCAAACTGAGTTTAAACCTTTCCATAAAAATTGACTGTTCCTACTTAATGGATAGTTTGACATGAATTTTGGCAGTGTGGTGGGGGAAACTTAATAGAATTTCACTGCATACTAGCTAGAATATTAACTTTGTTTAATCAGAACCAGATACAATAGCCAGTAGGCTTAGAACATTTTGAAGTGTGGGTGGCTGTCTAGCCTACTAATTCTACAGAAGGATGTAAATAAAGTGTAAGCTTCAAGTAGCAAAACTTGACAACTCTGTAGTCATTGATTCCAATAAATACCTAGCGATTTTTTTTTTTTTTTTTTTAAAGCTTATTGGAGGAGGAATCCATTCTGGGCAGACATTGGCTTTTTCCTTAAATCTGCTTGTAAAAACCATACAGAATAGGCAAATAGTCTGAAAAAATGTTAATTAAAACTTTAGCATTAGATCTCATGTCCAAATGAACGTAGCTTTTCAGTGAATGCTATTAATATGTTGCCCTCTGCTATAACAGGTTTGGGAGGGAAGGGGTGGATCTTTCTACAGAAATTCTAACGAGTGTATAAACTTGAAATTTGGGGATTCTTTTTAAAAGGAAAATATCAATTATTTTATAATGAAAGATGTCTCCCCACTTCTTTCCCCCATATCTGTATCAGCCTAGTTGGTGTAACCAAGTATGGCTGAACCAAAATAAGTTAGGATTAGATGTCTTTTATCAAATGTACTAGCTTTTCAGGCAGAAGAATAGAATTAGATTTGCATAATTTGAAGACCAGACTGGTTAGCAAGCCAGTGATTAAGCTTCCTTTATTTCTTAACAGAAGTAGTAAGAACTTAATGACTTGTTTATGGATTGGATATTAGCTTAAGTCTTCATATTTGACTGAGGCAATTGATAAAACATGGCTATTCATTTTTTGGTGCCTTAGACTTAATTGGCTTTTTAAAAAATTTAAATAAGCCCATTTTTGGATGCCTAAATTGCTTTAAATCTAGGCTTGCATGTTTGATTTGATAAATTAGTATGAAGTTAAACTTGGATAATACTGTTCTAAAATACCCCCTTGCTTGCCTAAGTAGTCATATTGTTTGAACAAAAAACCAAACTTGGGCTATGTGTTGTATGTTACCCACATCGTACAACGTAATCTGAAGCAAAAGTGCAGGTCTGTCATTTCACTGATGTAGAAGTACATTGTAATAAAGTGGTGGAGAGGGGGACATTTTGCCCCTAGAGGAATGCTAGCATAGGGACCATGGTATAAATAGCACTTATGAAACTGGGAGATGAACCTCTTCATTAACTTGTAGGATTTTTCACTTGTGCATGGATATTTGAAATGAAAATGGTGGAACTTTCTTGATGAGGCAAACACCCCCCCCCCCCCCAACAAATACAACCCCCAAAAAGCAAATTAGACGGCTGCGCTCAGTTCTGCGGTGTTTTTCAGAATTTCAGGAGCATTTCTGTCTAATATTCTAGAACTTTCTAAGCAGACCAAATGCTGGTGGTATTGGTTGTAAAACTGAACTAATGGCTAAGTTAAAAAAGTACGCTACAAAAACCAGGAGGAAATAAAAGGCCACAAAAGCGAAACTGAGATGCAAATAAACAAAATTAAAAGAGAATAATAATGAAAAACCTTTCTTACATTTTAAGCTTTTTCCCCCAGTAGATGGTACTTGCCTGGTGATGTGTAGGTTTTTTAAGTTTTGTTTGCTATTCTGCCATGTAGTGGTTTCCTGTTTCAGTTTTGTCTACTGGGATCAAAAATCGTTTACAAAAGTAAAAAGTCCTTTTTTTTTTCCTTGAAAGTCATTGAAAAAGATTGATATTGAACCAAATGTCCTATTTTGATATGAGTTACAGTAGGGCTTCATTTGCCATTTGTTGCTTTGAGCCAGACTGCTGCCATTGCATGATGAGTACATTTGGAGGGTTGGAGGAAGTATGATTGGCTGGTGTAGCATCTTGATGGCCATGCTGAAGGCAGTTACTCAAAGTACTATAACTTTATTTCCATCTCATTTCGACATTTTCCTTTCCCAGAAACCACGAAAATGATAATTCCATATATTTTCAAATGTTAATTGCATAGAAAATTGCCATGCGTTTCTTGTAGGCTAGGCTGTTGAAGCTAAGAAGGTGCTGTTCTAGGAGTTTCTAGTGTTCTCCAGTAACACCCTGTCTTGGTAACCTACCTTTTATGACTTTGGTATTTTGAAGTAGAGACTGTAATTCAAAATACCAACTTTAATTGTAACAAAGTTTACCTCCCACTTCAGAGCCTCATGAGATGGTCTATGCTGACTGAAAGTACTTAACAGTAATAACTTATTTACCTCAACTTTAGGTGAATACAGTATCGCTTGTTGCTAGAGTTCAAAACTCTTTTTACCTTTATGTAATTTCTTACGAAATTTTCCATGTGACATTTTTTATTCACATTTTTAATTGTCCCCTCAATTTTTTATTCTACCTTTTAAAAAGGAAAAATGCTAATCGGCTATCATATTGTGGGATGTACTCACGTTAGCCTGTGACAAAACCTGGTGTTCTGGCATGTGTAATTAAACCGAACCAAATTCATGAAGCTTTAACTGTGAAATAGATGTTTCAAATGTCTTTGAAGAACAGTACTTGAATATCTCTGCTTTAGTTTAAGGATAAGATTACCTATATTCCAACAGCATTTTTCTTTTAATTTTTTATAAAGAATCCAGTCAGATGAAGAGTGTCAAATGGAGTCTACGAATGGGAAACCAAGATGGCAGTTCCACTGTTGATTGAGAGGTTGAGGAAATGGACTAATGCATGTGTGCTGTGATATATCCATCCAAGACAGGGGCATTTTAACATGGACTTCAGTATTACTAAATCAGAGAAGAACTGGGTTTACGATCATCTTTCCAAAATGGACATTGGACTGAATTGAGTTCCTAAGGGTATTACATTGGTGAATAGAAGATGGATCTGTTGGAGGGGTGGATGTCTTTTTTTTGTTTTGTTTTGCTTCAGAAGACGTACATTTAACAAGGAACTTAAGGTGGCATCAGGTGCATTGCTGCCTAATTAGACGAAATGTATTGTTGTGCTATAACAAATGATTTATTTAATAAAAAATATTTTACACTTTATTCTTGGTTTGTCTTTTGTGGTGGAAAAAAATCTTAAAATGTATTGATGCTTGGGTACCTTAACTTTCTGTTTGTGTGGTAGTATAAAAATAAGAAATATTTAAATGTGATAAATATTGATGGCATGAGATGCTTCATTTGAAATGTGGTATTTGGTTCCAAGGCTCTTCACTTCGTCAGTTTTCAAAAAGAGTCTGTTTAGGGTTGTGTTCAGGGGTGCAGCAACTACTTGAGAAAGGGGGGGGGCTGTTTGTTTGTTTGCTTGTTCATTTTGTTTTGTATTTGGCGAGTTAAAAATATTCAATTTTGTTAAACTTTTTCAAGTTGCTATAGGATGGAACAAATTTCAAGTAAGGGATTTGCAATCTTGACAATCAAACATGACAATTGGCTTGCAGTGAAGGGCCCCTCTTAACTGTGGTTGGTCTGACTGAAGAGTTCTTCCAACATTTCTGTTACCTTGTTTTCCTTATTTGTCTCTACCTGTGTGCGTGCTCACCCCTACTGAATTCTAAACAACTTTCCTGAACAGTATATTGTTTAAAATTGAAGATGACTTCTGTCAAAATCTTGATTTATATTTGGGGTTATTTAAAAAAGTGTGCATGCCATTCTAAAAATCTATTTTGGAGTTTGTTACCTTCGCTCTTCTAAACAACCTATTCACATTTCTTCAGATTGGGTCTGTACAAAATGTCCAAAATTCATGTCTGTGCTCTAATATACATTTAACTGCTTTAATAATTGCCCCTTCTATGCCAGAAATTTTAAGTAGAGCAATTCTGATCTGCTTTTTTATCATTACATGTAAAACACCAAAGCTTAACCTTTATGGGCTTAAATTGACTATAAAAAATAGTCAGTTTTTCAACTTAATTTTTTGTGTAATAGTTACTATAGCCATCTGATCTAGAGAAACATTTTCATATTTGAAACTTCCTCTTGAACTGGTAGTCCAATTTTTTTCTCTTACATTGGAATATCAGGACAGACCTAGTGCTACCTATTGAGATAATGTAGACAAAGGGGTTCTTCCAAATGAGGAATGTTGCGATTTAATCATGTGGGTTGTTCATATTTTATTGATAAGTTGTTGGATTCTTTTTAATAGCGGTTCTTTTTAATAGTGGTGATAGCAGTTGTACCAAACTGTTGTCTTGTGATGTTGAATATACACACTTGTCATCCAAGTTGTGTGTTTCCACCATTTATTATATAGTGGAATTAAGTTCTAAGGTCTGTCTAAAAAAGGATGAATTTTCACAGTAGTGGATTTCCTGAGTACTGTATACAAATTCATTTTGGCATTACAATGTCTTTTGTTTTTTACGTTTATGGATTTAATTTTTTAATCTAGGAAAAGTGCACAGGGTCGCTAGCATTCTTCTATAAGCATCTGATCAATAACATGTCAGTAAATTGGTATTACAGTGTAGGAGCTCAGCCTACTCTAGTGAGTACTATAGGGGATCAGGCTGGACTGAAGAGAGGGGATGGATTGACTGAGGGTATGGTTGGGAAAGATGTGGAGGAGTTAAAAGAAAACTTCTTGGTCTTGCTGGTAGAAGTTGATGCTTGCATTGGTTGAGACCCTGTGCCATTGATGCAATCAGTATGAGACCAAATTGGAACATTGCCCCCAAATCTGGACCACTAATGTCTTGTTGCAGCACCTTGTGAAATCTATTTAAAATGGTGTGAAAAGCCCCTGTGACACTTACTGGCAGGCTATTGCTCCTCTGTGTGGACCAACAAATGGTGGTGATGGAGGAGAAGGGCATGGTGTTGTGCTTAGGCTCCCTCCAGTTCTTCAACCTGGGGTTTCTTTCTCAACTCCAGGGTGCTGTATCTGAGAATTGGCTGGTTTGGCACCACTCACCCTGGGCCCTGAACACAACGTGGCTCTGCAAGTGCTACTCCCAGGAGTGTTGAAGGCTGTTCCTAACAAGAATGGGTTAAGAAATAGGACTTGGGGATGGACTTGCAAAGATGGCAGCCTTCACAACCATGCCTTGAGTTGCTGCAGGAAAATGAGAGCTCTTGCAATTTTGCTCCTCTCCAGCAGAGCCACCAGGGAGGCGCTGTGGAGCTGAGCAGAGTTACCCTGGGCAGCTGCTTGCTCCGAGGCTGGAGTGGCTGCAGTCCCCAAGCCTGCAGGCACTCAGTGGCAACTGGAGGAAATCCCCCTTGCAAATGGACTTGTAACCCCATGTATTTGAATTGCTCCCCACTGGGTGGGGTGGACACCCAAGGTGGGCACTTGCTGCATCTGTGCCTCTTAGCCCCACTTCCAATTCTTTCAAAATGGCTTGTTCCAGCAGCACTTCCTGTCCAGGGAGGAAGTAATTTTAGCCCAAGGACTGAAATATTTAGCAAATCTTGACAACAAAAGGAACAAATTGCTTTTTTTGCTGGGTGGCAAAGGGTGCCTGAGCCAGCTGGGGTTAAGGTGCCCCTCCAGTTGGGGTGGTCTGGGGGAGCCAGGGGCTGGGGGGTAGCAGGCACCCTTGAGGTGGAGGCTTTCTCTTTTTTTGGTAGAAATGAAGGGGTGGGTCTATGGTACATCACCTGAGTTGTGGGGTAAATGTAGAGAGTGTCAATCAAAGGCAGAGCTCAGAGCTGGGAAGGAGCTCTAGATGGCGGCTGTGCCTTAGAGAGAGCGCGCTCCGCTCCGTGCCTTCCCCGACACTTTACGCAACTTTCCCCAACTTTCGGGCAGCCTCAGGGGGCCCCCACGGCCCCTTGCCTCTCCTGGGCACCGGTCGGGGGCTGATCGAGCCCTTTTCGGGCAGAAAAGCACATTTTGAGGGCACTCTTTTCGTGCCTTGCTGGAAAGAAGAAGCCGTGGAGAGAGCCCAGGTCGTTGTTTTTCCAGCTTAGAAGCCATGGCGTACCTCCATTTTTGTGCGCTCTCCTAATGAGCTTTTTCCCCCGGACATTTTTGGTACTAATTATCGCCTCTCCTGCTTTAACAGCAACCTATTTTGTGGATTAGCATCTATTTAATTGTTTTTCCTTGCCGTTTTCCTACGTTTTTCTGTTCGATCGTTTTGCCTCGAAATATTTTGGATCTAATGTTTTTCCACCACCCGAAACTAAAATCGCCTGGGTCCTGGCGCCGGTGCATGGATCAGGTAGGTGGGCAATTAATAATCCTCGTTTTCCAATTTCTGCCGCTTTCAGTCCTTTGATTATTTTTTTTTTTCCGACGGATTTGAGCTGCCTTGGGATGACGCAATAAAATACAGAGATTATTTGCATCCACTGTTACTTTGGGAAAGTTTGCAGGATGGTCCTCTGGTGTGTGTGTGTGTGTGTGCTCCTCTCTCTTTTTTTTTTCCCCCCCTTCTCAAAATGAATATTCTTGTTTTGAATCTCCGTTTCCCCGTGTCGATTGGTGTTGTGTATTGTTATAACAATATCATTGCAGCGTCAGGACTTTGTTCCTGCTAACGAAAGCCAATGAGACAAACTGGGACCTTACCTTTCTTTCAACTTTTGACAGTAAATACCTGGGCACAGGACTTCAAAGCAAACACAGACACCCCTCACCCCCCTTAATATTTAAGAATTAAAAGATGATGAGAAATAAGGACAAAAGCCAAGGAGAGGAGGGTTCAGTCCACAGCCATGCATCGAGGTATGATCTGTCAACTTTATTTTATTTTTTTGTAAAAACCTCTGAATACACTGTTTACCTGGACAGCCCTGGGCTCCTGTCAATACTTGATACAGAATATTTTACTGATTTTGATTCTTTTTTGAGGAATGACCTTGAGATTGTTAACATGCCACACCCTAAATTTTTTTTTGGTAGCAATTTCTGAAAGTTGTGTTGTGACTTAAGGGCCCATGTCACAGTCAAAAGGTAATGTACCTTTATACAAGGGAGTCCTTTTCTCAGTATTATGCTTTTTACGTTTCTGAATTTCAGTTTTTAGGTTTTTGTGCTGTGAAAAATGACCTTGTCGGTTTAGCCATTGCTGCATTGCACCATTTTACATACAAGGCAGATTTTTCTTTGAAGAATCTCAGAAGTCTAAACTTTAACTGAGGGCCATACAGAAGCCTGGTAGTAGTAAATTATAGTAAATAGACACTAGAGGAAGTCAGATGAATGAAAAAAACCTCATTTTAAAATATAAACTGAAAAGTGTCTGTTTGACTGACACCCCTTTCTTCAAATTTTATTTGGGCTTGTAGAACTTTGATACTGTTTAGGTATTTTTAGGATATTTTGATACAATTTTACCAAACTTCTCCCCTCATGGTGGTAGTAGTATTTCATGCTCATAATATATAACCTGAGATTGTTAATGGGAGCCTTGGAGTCCTTTGATTGTTTTTATATTTTTGCTCATTGTGGTTTTTTTTATTAACTTTTATGTAAAGCAATACAATTCTTTTCAGATTTTGCAAACTTAACCTTGATTTAGGGAAGAATACAAAAAATCATTGGAAAGCTGTTTCCATTTGATGGACATACAGGATATATTTGTAAAACGTATCATTTTTGTACTTTAATTCGTGTGTGTTGTTTTAAAACGAGCCTAAAAATTTTGCACTGCTCTTCTGTGGCTTGTAAGTATGCTGAATTTCGGTTTTGTGTTAACATAATTTAATTTATGACCTGTTTTATTTTTTGAGTATTTTTTTGAAGCAACTCAACAATAAAATCATTCTCCACAACTATCTTTTGTATCACATGTGCACTATATAAGGTTTATGTATATGAATGCTGTTCTTGATGGCCAGTATTTAATCCATTCTCGGACATGAGAACTTGAAATATTTGGATAGAAACATGTTTCTGATGAGGTTATTTTACAAGAATTCTTTAAAGCGTGCTCTTGAATGGCATTTGGGAATGCTTTACACTTGCAATGGAATAAGAGGTTACAATGAAATAGGTAATATCATTTGATTTAAAATGTTTGTTGGCTACATCAGTTTAAAAGGATATTAAAAACATACTAAAATAGCACCTTCGAGGGCTTGCA